ATAAATAATGGACTGCACTGGTCATCGTGGTAGAGCCTCGCGAAACGTCTTTTGTTATGTATTTTGTACATATGCATACACACTCTATCTATCGTCATAAATACATTATCGTAGAGTATTCTAAAAGAATTATATATATCTATATATACACTTACATAGAAACATATATATATATACATATACTATATATATATATATATATAACTGCGCTAGAGGTACTAGAAGAAACACATTCTTAGAGAATTGTATAGAGATAAGAATTACGCGATGTTCCCAATATATAGAATAAGTTCGCGGATTTGTCGCATAGTCTATGACACTTGAGTACTTGTGTGCAATACTCGTCGCTATTCTCCGGTACTTATAAGAAAAGAAAAACAAAATTGCATGCCGGAGACTATCGCTACGAGACGCTCTATATTTTTTATGCACTTTATATACACTTATTTTTATATGTCGCTACTCTATAGAATTATAAATATTTGCACAGAAAGAGTGTCCCAGAAATCGCAAATATGACGGCAAATCTGACAGATTTTTTTCTTGATCATTGATATCAAATTATAGATTCTTATATTTAGAATTTTGAGATAAACAATATTTTTTATTATTTTTAATCGCATTATTTCACTCAGATTTGTTTTTTTTAATTAACGGGACAGTCGATCGCAGCTATCAAGAATTTTCTCAAGAGAGAAATCTACTCCAGATTTGTCCTTAGATTTGTAATTAAAATTAAGTCGTTCCAGGACACTCTGTACAGCGCGTTTGCGTTTTTCTATTCTATTTTGCATCTTACGCGACCATGATGTTGGAGCACACAATCTATATCTTGCTGTATATACCTACGAACGAGAGTTAACAGCTAATGATCTATTATGCATTTCATAAATTTGTAATCGCAATTCTCTCCTTTGAGAGTATTTGATCATTGGATTTCCGCAACTTTTCGAAATGTCCTTGGAGATATCTGCAGACTGACCAGACTCTGAAAGAGAAAAAAGTAAAGTCTGCGAAAGGCTGTCTCGTACTTTTGCCACTGCTCGACATTGTCCTGCTGTCCCCAATGTGCTCTATTAGTCATTTAAAAAAGGATTTGCTTCTACGAAACAATTTTTCTGTCACATTCTTCTACAACTAATGCTAATTTATAGTTAGCTCGGAAAACTGTACAAATTTATTTGAAACGTGACTTATATCATGCGAATCTACTAATTTATATTATAATAAGAAGAATATATATTTGATATATCGCATTGATATATCTTATGTTATTCGAGAAGAAATAAAGGAGAGTTGATAAGAGAAAACTGTACAATTGAGAAAATCTACATGTAGTTCGCAGACATATACGCATATTTGCGTAATCTATTTTTCGCAATACCGTATATCGTACATTCGAGTACATGAGTATGTAATAAAAAAAGAAATAGGAAACTGAAATAAAAAAGTTATATATATATCGAGATATTAATTCTCAGCGAGTGATGATCATTTCGTTCATAGTTCACCGAATGCGAATAATTGATGATTGTCGTGAAACATTATACGTTATGCTCTAGTAATATGTATAAAATATTTTTATACAATATATAATCACTATTGTGTCGTTAGATAAAATGCGTACACGCCTACGACGCTTTGCTCGATTCACTTTGTTGCAGCGATTAACCAGGAAGACGAACCGGAAGTAAAAAAAAGGGGAATGCAAATTGTTGCATTAAGTCCTACATATGCACTGCATTCTATGTGCGCCAAGCAGGATCTGAGTTTCTTCTAATAAGTCGTCTACAAATAGAGATGTTTTCTCAAAGTTTCTATGCAGCATCGTTCGATACGTGACGTGTAATTAAAACGAAATGGAGAAACATTTTGTTTTTCACAATGGATTTCAAAAATATGTATACATATATATATATATATATATGATTGTAAAAAATATCAGATCTATTAAATATAGTGCACGAAAGAAGATACCATATATCAAAATGGACAAATTATATGAGATATTGATAGAACTAGTGAAATTATAAGTAATTATTTTTAAAAATTATAAAATACAATTGCTGTTTTATATATTAAAATAAGGCAAGAGATAAATGAGACGACAAATGTATATAGATCGAAGTCTGCTAGTCAAATTTAGTCAGAATTTTTTCGGATTCGATACTGATGACATTTTCTTTTTATGAATGTGTATATAATTATAACGCGTTTTTCCTTAAATATTTCTATTTTTCCAAAATAAGCATATTTTAAAAATGAAATAAGTAAAACTAAAATTCCTTCGTTTACGAACAACGTTGCTCCTATATAATATACTATAAATTAATAATCATTTATTATATACATATCTTCTGTTGTGCTGATTTTTGTAGAAATGATATCGTTTATGCTCGTAAATTATTTAAATTTTTTAAATTAATATATTTTTTTGGAAGATACACTCTTTTCGAACGAAAATGTATAAATTCTAAAGAGTATGTATTGTGGAGATCTATCGCGAAAGTTTTAAATTGACTTTCACGGTTTAATCATTAAATCTATGATGTATTGCTCTATAGACACAACATCTGTTGTTACATATATGCATCAAGATTTATAATTAATATTGATACTTACATGAGTGTATAATGTAAAAAATATGAGGTATTACTTTTTTGCAAATCATGCGCTAATATCTAATATACTTATAACATGATCGGCTTTCGATTTACGATCTTAATTACGTGCAATCGTGTCTCGTGGAAAATCTTTATAATTTCTTACTCTATTATTTTTGTGCGAGTCGTTATTCAAATGCAATTCTGCTAATTATGGTAAAATCTCGTTCTTACAAAAGAGATACGTATTGTAAGATATTTAACAAGTCAGTTTTATATCTATCATTAATTTGATAACAATTACAAGCGAATTCTATCATATGATCGTACTTGTACAATATTAATTGTAGCTTATATTTTTTTGAAAAAATATAAAATCATGAATCAAATTATCGATTAATATATTATATGCAAAGCGCATAATTATTTCGAAGATTCAACTATTATGTAACTACCTGCAAGTCAGATAAATAAGTGTTAGAATAAAATATTTAGTAAACCTTAAAATGTATTCACGTATCATGGATTAAATAAAGTAATTCTGTTATAAAAATGTCATTTATAAGCAATTTCTCTCCCTTTCTACAATTTATCAGAATTTTTAGAATTACAATATCTTATTTTATGAAAAACTGATATCTAGGGAATGTTGAATTTCTATGAAAAAAATGAAGCGTTAATGCATAAATGTATTTATAAGAAAACTATACAATATTTTACATGAATCTTTTTTAATATATATAGAATATCGAAGCTTAAACGAAGCTATCATCTCGTTTAAGGATCCTATTCGCCAACTTTGATTTTTAATTAAAACATGGTCCTGAGAAAAAAATACTTCGATAGCAAATCTCGAATTTTTCTAGCTTTTTTACTTTAGCTGTCGTACTTAATTAAAAAAAATGTTTCTTATTCTTTATTCCTATTTATATAGGATTGTTTGAAATGGTTGTCGAGATTTCAATTTGTTGTAAATAATGCATCTAATATTTATAGCCATACTGAAAAATAAGTAGTTTGATTCGAACTTTTTCAGTAGCTTATCTGTTTAAAGCCTTGTATATCGTATTGGCCGAGTTGTGATTTGTTAATTCCTTCTCCATTTGAAATCTCAGAACGATTTCTATCATCGTGAACATAAGATGTAAACTACTGAATGGCAACAAATACGGAATAAAATTTCAAGAGATTTGTCTATAGGCCTGTTTTTAGCTGAACTTCGTTCTCCCTTTTTTCTCCACGTTAGAGAAAAAAAGATAAAAGATAAACCGTCCAAGAAATTCAGATAAAAAGTATTACTAATATAATTAACATAATATCATGATACTATTAATATCAGGGTTGGGGTAGTGCCAAATTAAAAAGCTAAAAGTTAAGTTAAAAAGTTGAAAAATTAAATAATTTTAACTTAACTTAGTTACATTTTAGACTCTTAACTTTTTAACTTTTTTTATTTAGTTACATTTTTTACCGATAACTATTAACTTTTTATTTAAATTTTTTGAAGTTAAGTCTCAGACTCAAACATATACTTCCTTTAGTACATACTCTATATTTTATTTAAAAGTTTTGTTTGTATATATTATTTACATTATATATTGATTTCAATCTAGCAAAAACCGTATATTTTAATGTATCTAGTTTTTGGTAGGTTGAA